TGCTGAGGGTTTCTCTGCTATGAGGATCTCAGAGAGATCAAAATGGACAATGGTCCTTCTGATGATCTCAGCCTTTATCTCTTTTTGTCAACTTTGAAATGGCCATGTCTCTCATGGTTATAAGGAATGCCCTATAACCCCAAGGACAAATCATAATTGAACAAGCTTATCTTTTATTAAAAAAAGAAACCAAATACACAAATAAAAATGGGTGGAGGATAAAGGAACAGTAGCAACTTGCCAAAGCAATGTACTCTTGCAATTTTAACAACTGTTTATCTCAGTCCTTTCCCTGACGTCTATAAAAATTTAAAAAGCAAAGAGTTTATCCAAACCCATGATTTTATATAAATTATCTGAAGGACCTAACCTGTGTTTGGGTACTATTCCCTTTAGAACTTGGGGCTGTGGGTTCACATCTCTGCTTTCTCCTATATGCCTTTTCTCAATTACAACAGGACTGGAAAAGTCACACCATAAAGTGGAACCAGAAGACAACAACCTGGAAACAAAAGAGGGACACTTGCCTGACTTTCAACTACATATAAACTGTATGCCACTTCTAATTCTCACCTTTTTCCAGAGTTACTCTCATTACAATGATATTTTCTCTCTTAGTTTTAATTCTAAAGCAAGCCCATGCATGCCAGGATTCCGGTTAATCTGGCTTGCCCATGACATGGAGAATCTGCTTCAGAGCAACTTAATTATTCCCTTGAACCTATATGTACAAAAGATTCATTGCAATGATTATTGCAGGTGTCCCAGCTGCCACAGTTAGAGCTACAACTGCTAACATAGCCTTAACTCAGTCCATCCAAACTAAGACAACTATAAATTCCTATCTTCAAAATAAACAGCTTGAAATGATGTTTTATACTAACAGGTTCAACCTCTCTAATTGCTTTTCAGGACTAAATCTTAAAATGTGGTCTTTTACAGGAAGAACCACTCAGTTTGTCTGCCTCTTTTCTGCAGTACTAGTGTGCCCTTGTCTATTTTTCAAAAGGATCATCCAGAACAAAGTGAAATGCTGATTTAGACTGCCCCTACCATGCACCATACCTTGACCAGCTCTTCACCAGTAACTACCTCCATCAGTGTGTTACTTCTTCAATAAAACAAAAACAGAAGAAGTGTGGTGATGCAAACTGATGCAAATATTTCTTCAATTCTAAGAACCTGGAATTTTGTTGGACTTCATAGCCAGAGTTAAAAATACACCTTGAGGTCACATAAGACTTCTAGCTTACTGTGTACTTACCCTGTTTATTTAACCTACCTTTAAGAGAATAATGCAACAACCAACCTTACTTCCCTTGGACTTGCCATGTCATCAACTTTTACCACCTAGATTAACCCATAGCCGTAATCTTAAATAATATAGTCTTCCATGTCTCTTACCTACAGTAACACATGTGTTCTAATAATCATTTGCTGAAAAGAGCGAAAATAGAATTTGGGAGCATTGTTACAAAATGGAGATCTACAATAAATGTTGAACACAGCATTCAGATATTGCATGACAAACAATGATGTTTATAGTATTGCTTGCTAGTCAGGTCAGTCAGGATGAGTGATTTAACTCCTTGTAAAATTCTGTTAAAGATTTCTGGAAAGGATCCTCATTCCTTTCCCATGTGATACCTTCTGTGCTATTCAATGATACAGAGCAAAGTCCTTTGTTAGGGCCAGACAGACACAGACGCAGGGGCAGATTCACAGGACAGCATTCAAGCAGGCACACAATCACACACATACAACAGAAAGACAGAGGACAGAAGATACTGGGAAGGAAAACTACAGAATTCTAATCTGGGTTTGTTCTTAGTTAAATGACACCGGGAGGAAATACTTTAATTATTTTTCCCCTTAGTGCAAAAGCGACAAATTTTATTGGTGACTCGGAGTTTACTATTAATGTCTTCAAAACGACCACACAAAGGAAATGGCAAAGAGAAGGAAGGATGGAAACAGCAAACAAAGAAAGAGCTCCAATGACAAAAAAGGAACAAAGGAAAGAAACACTAATCAGGGTCTGGGTGGTAAAAAAAAAATATATTATCTATACTATTGAATAGCTAACTTGAGTTTAATGGAGTATAATATATTCAGGCTTTAACCTTTTATCTGACACCTTCTTTATTATTAAAGATCTAGTAGTCTCAGTATTTCAGTCTGACTAGCTGAGGCCCACTATTTAGGGTGCTATTTTTAAGTACAAGATGATATTTTCAATTAAAGGTAATATAAGCCCATTAAAATTACAAATACATAAATGAAAAATATTACAGCAAAGAAAAAATGATGATGACAGTAGGTATACATATGGATTCTTTAAATATTTCTTGTTTATTCTTTAATATCTGATTTTGTTGCATGGTTTTTGTTTGTTTTTTTTCAAACATAAGTATAAGAACATAACATGCTGAATCTCCAACAGGGAGTTTTATGAGAGAGTCTTGTTCTATTGCTCAGGGTGTTGTCAAGTTCTCTGGCTCAGGTCATTCATTTTCCTAATTTAGCCTTCTAAGATGTTTGGACTGAAGCTATGGCACACTGTGCTTGGCTACAGTGAGGTGTATAAATCATCCACAAAGCTGAACAAGCCCAACCGTATGTTCATTACTGCCCATCAATACTAGTCTCCGCAGAATTCTAAAGCCGGGTTCTGATCTAGATTGGTCATTATAGTACTTTGATTTTGGAGAACTACTCACAGTGGACTCTCTCCTCCTTAATAAAAGAGCAAGTGTCCAGGGGACAAATGGAAAGTTCAGATTCAAAATGTCATCCAGGAGTGAGAATTAATAGAATTTGATGGAGGATGAACCAGAGGAAAAGCTAAAAATTTATAGTCTGTACTTCTTTTTTTTTTTGGATACATTTTTTAAACAATCTTTTCTCAATAAGTACGCTTAATGAGGAAGTCATTTATCCCTTTCAAGTAAGTATTCTTTGTATCAATTAGCAAAATAAGTGAATTTAAGTGATTTAAAAGGAGCCTTATAGATTCCAATATTATATAGCTTGACATTTCTTTGACAAAGAAGTTTTAAAAATAATTAACGTGCAAAGAAAGAAAAAAAAGACTTGTTTTCAAGAGTAACAAAATTCAAGAATCTTAGTCAATAGTGACATTTTAAGCTTTATACTTGAAAACCTACCATTATATTTCCCTCCAGACTTCTCAACATTTTTTTCTTTTTTCAATCCTGTTGCTCAGGGTGGTCTCCATATCCTGAGCTTAAGCAATCCCCCTGCCTCAGTCACTGAAGTTACCAGGACTATAAAGACATATTATCATGTCTAACCAGAATGTTTTAAAGCTATCCTTTCTGGTCTATTACATGATAGCAAAAAAATAATAATTTGATTCATTTAAAGTTATAATGAACCCTAAGAAAGGATGTAGATGTTCCTGGGGATCCCAGCTGGTTTTTCAAAAAGGAGATTAAATTTGGAGTTTTGCTTTGGGATTGCAGGTCAATAATATGATCTTTCTTATTCAGGGCTTTCCTACCCTCTTGTGCATGCTCCTCTTGTTTCTTTCAACTCTTTTAACCGATGTGTATAGATTTCTAACAACTATTTCTGGTCAAGAAAATATTCTAGGTAGATGGAAAATAATAAGATATCTGAAGAGAAACGCATTGTGTTGTGTTTGTAAAGTTCGCATCCATGAAGAAATGTTTTAAATCGTTGCAAAGAATTGGTCTTTTTAAGGAATTATATTCCAAATATAAATAGAATTTTCACAACTAAAATAAAAGTTAAGGCCAGGTGTTGGTGGTGCACGCCTTTAATCCCAGCACTCGGGAGGCAGAAGCAGGAGGATCTCTGTGAGTTCGAGTCCAGCCTGGTCTACAAGAATTAGTTCCAGGACAGGCTCGAAAGTCACAGAAATACCCTATCTCGAAAAACCAATAAATAAGTCAGTAAATAAATAAAATAAACGTTACAAACAATAAAAATGGAAGTTTAGTAGAGACCTTCCTTACAAAGTTACTTGCCACCTGCTGGCTAGATTCCACCCTAGGGACTAAAGAAAATGTGGGTGCACTATAAAAAAAACTTGAGGTTAATGGAATCTGAGAAAAACTGAAAAACATTTAAGTCAAATTTCTTCACAAAAAAGAAGTGAGAAGAGAGGAAGTGCAGAAAAGAAAGAAAATGAGGAAGAAGGAAGAAAGGGAGGGAGGGAGGGCTGATTCTGTACAGATAAGGGAGTGATTAGAACAAACTGATTAGCAGGTTGGTAAACGTCATTCTGAGGTTTTGATTTCTGATCTAAAAGAAAGCAAGTGAAGCAGATTGCTCATGTCATGCTTTCTGGCAGTAGCTAAGCAGATTCTGTATTCCAGATCTTCAGATTTCTTGTCCCTCCTTTTTATACACAAACAATGACTTCATTTCACATTGTTTACACTTCTGTTCCTTGTTACAGCCCAAAGGAAGGCCGCAAGTGTTCCTCAATCTTAGTTATAACTAAGGCATGTAGTTGAACAAAACAGTTTTCTCTAGTCTTTTGTTTTCATTACAAATACATTTGACTAAACACAGACACACACACACACACACACACAAATAGAAGAGCTTGCAGAAATCTTCACAGAATAGCAGAGTTCAAAACACAACTCCATTCCACTGACCTCCCAAATATAGGATTGTATTATAATCTGTCTCTGCATGGCCAATGAGCTATGTAGTCAAATGTACTGTCTCATATTTGCACTGCCCTGAAGCTGAGCAGTGCCTGAATTACCCTCCTCTTGCTCCAGAACAGAGCTTTCTCAACCTCTGCAAATGAAGAAAACATCAAATAACCAGAACATGGACAATACATTGAAGAAATGCAAGAGTTTTGAAAATCTCCCAAGCCCCCTGAACACACTCCTTTCTTTTCGCCAGCCCTTCCTCCTCCCATGTTATCCCATGTCACTCTGGACCCACTACATAACAAACCCTGTGAGTCCTGTGACTTCTGCTGAAGTACTTACCAATATTGTCAGGCTGCATGACAGCCATCACAAAGGTGTGAGGAAAGAGCATGGCTGCACCTTTCCTCATGCCCTGAAGCTCTACAGTGTTGCCCTCGAATGTGACCCCATGGACATCAGTCTCTGTGCCCAGGCCAAGCAAGTGCCAGGCTACCATATCACCCTTGCACATGTCCAGCCTGGGCAGGTTAGAGAACAGAAACCCATTAATAGCTGGAAAACAAAAACACAGACAAAACAGGAAAATGAGATTAGATGGCTCAAATCATGGTCTGGAGCATATCAGCCCTATACTATGATTTTTTATAGCATGAAATTGCAGATCATCCTCTGCTTTCTATTATGCTAGTCAGATTCTACTCATAGAATGCCTTTGGGATGAGACCTCCAACTAGCTTTTTTGGTCTCACCTCTTTCACCTCCTTTACCATACTCTGGAAACAATGAACTATTTTCTGCTACTTCAATTCCTTCATGCACATGCCAAAACACACACACACACACACACACACACACACACACACACACACACACCATTGAACTTCAATTTACTCCTGCTCTCCAACTTTCTTTCAGGCTATACTTTCTAGTTTTCTTGCAGTATCTGCTTTTTCTTTCTCCTCACTGTTCTAATTCACACCCCCGATAGAATGTATTTTCCAGTTCCAAGTTCAAGGTAAGTCCTTCTCTGTATTTTCACTGGTAATACCAAGGATATTTAGAGCTGTTGTGAAAAAACCTCTTTCCAAATACCTTTCCTTGAAGTCTTTATACAGGCATAGCCACCCCCCCACACACACACTACTGTCTTAGCATACCTATTCATCTCTACATCTAAAATACCCAAAGAGTTTTGGATGTTATGATAAAAGCTTTGCCTCACCCCCTGGAATCCACATACCCAAAGAGTCTGGGATGTTATGGTGGAAATTGCACCCAAGCCCCCCTCTCCCATCTCCCTCCAGAACCTGCTGCATCTCAGAAAGCCCACCAAATGATGGCCACTCCCCCAAAAAACTCAAGACCATTCCCACAGGGCACTTAAACTGCCCCCCAGAGACAAGACTTGTGGTTCTTCTGGTCTCCCTTTCCTGTCTCCTCTCTGGGGGCTGGAAGGTCATCGGGGAGCATTGTATCCATTAAACGTGAGCTTTTCTAATTCAGTTTGATTTGGTCTGATTTGGATTGCTGCATCAGCAGAGAGGATTATAGGGGTGTAGAAACTTTTCATAAAGTTTTAAATCTAGTTTATTTGCTGTGTATTTGTTGAGTTTTATACACTTCCCCTCAGCCCTAGAATAGACTTCATTTCTTGTCTCTATGTAATCCACTAATCTACTCATCCATCATGCCCTAGCTCAAATAGAACTACCCTTTATGAAGCATGCATATATATATATATATGTATATAAATATCCCTCTGTCTTTCCATCTCTCCCTCTCCCTTTGAGGAAAATTTATGTAATAAAACTTATTCCAGGGTGTCCAAAATATTTCTACATTAACCATCTCATTTTTTGTATCCCTATGACTGCCTATTAAGAGTTTAATAAATTCAAAGTGGAATAATATGACTCATGAAAGTGCCTTACTTGTCCCATAACAATGTACTCCCTGGGATAGGAAAACAAGAAGGATGCAGAAGACAATACATTAATTTATATGTCCTCTTATTATTACTTGTCCCCAAATATGGTGAAACTTTTCTGTGTTCCCATCTTCACTGAAGTCAGATTCCAGGACTTATTTCACCAATACCCTAAGATTTTCATGAGAACATTGCTATTCCTCAGTTCTGCATCCCCTGTCTATAATGTCTTGATTGGAACCCTATTCAGTCTTCAGCCTCCACCCAAGCATTCCATCCTTCAACGAATCACCTAAATTTGTTCCTTATTAGTAGTTTTCTCCTTTGCACTTAAAAGGGTCCTATACACATATAGCAGTCTGTTTGGATCATTCTAATAATTATTTTCATGGGTGCTAGTCACATCTCATTGAAAAATTACTGGACTCTCCCTGAAATCTGGGACTAGTTTTCCTTCATTCTTTCATCCGTCTACCCATTGATTTGTAGTTCAGTAATTCAATTAACATGCACTTTGTGAGAACCTAATAATTAAATAAAATGTGGAAGAGGCAGAGATAATCAGCATACTCCAGAAGTAATGAAGCACCATGTAACAAATAATTACAATGTTGAATAATACATGGAGCGTATGCTTTTAAAATTCCTAGCACACAGTGGTACTTAGAAATGAGAGTCACTACTCTGGACTTGAGTGATAAGAAGTGCACTTATTGGTAATGTAGCTTTTGAGTAGAAACTTGGAAACTGGGCAGAATTTCTAAATGTTGAAGGTAAATAGGTGAAAAATGTATATTTCAACTGAGGGGCACAGCAATGCAAAGAATGAAATAAATTGGTCACGCTTTGATGAGGTAAGAGATGTGGGGGAAGGGTAAAAGGAGACAAAACTGGAGGGAACCTGCAGGTGTAGCCTAGTGGAAGAGCACTTGCCTAGCAGGTAAAAGAGACCTGCATTCTGTTACCAGAACTACAAAGAAAAATAATTAAAGAATATCATCCCTGCTTAATCTGCCATACCCTATAGAATAGCACATATACACAATTTTCATCTTCTAGTTCCTCCCATACTGTGCAATGCATATCATGGCACAAGACATCAGTGTAAGAACAGCTGTTGTTACAGGGTGGTGACATGGTTCAGTGGCTACAAGCTCTTGAAACTCTTCATAAGACCTGAGTTCAGCTCCCAGCACCCACATCTAGTGGCTCACAACCACTTCCAGTTCAATGGTATAACCTCTTCTAGACTCCGTATACACACACACACACACACACACACACACACACACACACACACGCATGCACGCACGCACACAGCGAGAGAGAAATAATAATAATAATAATAATGAATTTTAAAACAGGAAAACTGTTTTTTATGTTATATTCCTCAATCTAGCTTGTCCCTTGCATACAGATTATCAATGAAATGAACACTTTAAGGAATTGGTTATGAATGTGGATACAATTACATTTTCTTTGAGACCCCAAAGTTATAGTCAAAGGCAAAACTATTCCGCATACCATGCATTTGATTGGAGTCCTGGAAGCCCTCGACATCCTCTGAGAGCAGTCGGGAATCCAACATACCAGCTGCTTTATTGGTATTGTTGTACCAGCTCATGTTCTCATCAAACACAGTGAAGAGGAGAAAAAATTCTTTATCCATTCCTTTCTGTAGTCCCATTGGAAAAAATAGAGGGAGGAATGACAATTGTTTCAGCAGTTGAATATTGCGTAGTTGTAGACCCAACGATTCCTGATTCTTTTTCATTTCCTTTTTCAGATTCAGAGCCAGGCCCATATCTCATGCTCAGAGCTGCAGTTGTTGCTAGGCAGGTTTTCCTCAGGAAAACTTCAAATTGTAGAGGAGAAAGGGCAGAGTAAAAGGACAAGACTAGAGGCGAATAATGTATGAAAGGAAGCAGGGAAGAAGCACAGGGTGAGGATTAAAGAAACAGCACAGTATGTGACCAAAGATAGCCTAAAGTCACCTGGGAAGAGGATGGAGGAGAAAATAGCTAAGAAAGCAGGGAAGGTCTATGGAAGAAAATTGAAAATTAAAAACATTAGAAATGCATTAACATTCTTTGTAAGTTTTAAAGCTTATGTTTACTGGGTGTTCACTAGATGCCAAACACTGCAGTAAGCACTTCACGTGTATTAATTTCATGATTCTTCAAAGAAATCAAAGACAATTTCCTTGGTTAACCCTTTCTTTACAGATGAAAAAGATAAGCTAAAGAGATTTTAAATAACTTGCTCCAAGTTACACAGAAATGATGGGCTAAACGAAAAGAATGGCAAACACAAAGCAAGGTTATCAATTATGAACAATGCTATGGACCACCGAGGTGGGAGGGAGAATAATGATTTGGGGATATGGCAAAAGTAAGAATCACAAGCTAAGAGAGATATGTGTTTGCATGTAAATAATATACAAAAGGATAGAAAGTCACCAACTATTAATTTCTGATATAATTGCTTGGTTTATCTTTTTTTATTCCCTTACCTCCAGGATCCAGCCCCATTCTTGACACATACCCAGAAACTCAACTCTACATCTCTCCAGCAAGACATCCTACCCAGACACCCCAGAAATACCTGCTTGCCATCTACACCTAAGGCGCCAGCCTTGCAAACCAGCAGAGGGCCCACCAGGCCAGAATTTGTATCTCTTGCAGGATCTGCTGCAGAGAAGTACATCCAGGTTAGACAGGCAGGATCCTGAGCAGTGGGCCCAGCATGAGGAGGAACTGACCAGTTGTACGTTACTTTTTCAAAGGGTTTGGCTACCAAGCCAGGATGCGATGTGCCTGAAAGGAAACATGAAACTATTATTCACATTGGCTAGAGTAGGGATCATCAACTCCAAAGAGTATAATAAAAATGAAAACTACAAAGACATTTTAAGGCAGCAGTGATGGCAGTAACATGCAGTGATGGATACTGAAATGCTTGAGAGCATTTTGCATGCTAGACAAGAGTTTTACCACTGACCTGCAGCCTATCTTAAGGCTGTAAATCCTTTAAATGGACACACAGCATGATCAAGCAATATAAAGAATTGTATTTTTATTTTCATTATATTAGTAATCAAAGAAGTATAAATGAAAGCACCTAAATAATTTCTGATCAATAAAATTGGCAAATACATTATAAATTTTAATCACTGCAGTGAAAATGGTTCAGATAGCATCTAGCTCTTTTCCTTACCTATAAAGAGAGTTTAAATGTACACAGAAATAACTTTTTTTGAAAATAATACTGGCAAATTGCAAAAGTCTTAAAATGAAGTAAGATATTAGTATTAGTATAAATAATGTTAAAATAAAACAATTGAATGAATGCAAATCAAAACAAGAGTGAGTTGCATTGATGTTGCTTGTTAGACACTCATTTTGACAAAAAAGTAGAGATGTCCTAATGCAAGTGAGGTTGTAAAGAAATAAACTTTTCAGTACTATTGATGCAACTACAAGTTAATCAGACTACAAATCTGTCTAGAGAACAATATGGAAATAGGTGGTAAAATTTCAATATGCATATCCTCTGACAAACTAATTTTTTATTATTTTTCAGTTTAAATTTAGATAAGAAACAAGGTTGCTTCACAAGTCAGTTCCAGGACCCTCTCCCTTTCCCTCCCCTCCTCCCGTGCCCTTCCCCCAACCCCCCATTATCCCCTCATTTCCCCAGGGATGGTGAGGCCCTCTGTGGGGGTGTCCATAGTCCTGACAAACTAATTTTACATCTGAAAAATATAACCTGCATATTTTTTGGTTGTGAACCTAGCCTCTAATGGCTGAGACATTGCTCCAGCCCAAGCAGCATGAATTGTAATAGCCAGAATCTGGAAGCAACCTAAATGCCCCTCAACTGAAGAATGGATAGCTAAGGATCAACATAGTAAAATGGCAATCTTGTCAAAAACAGTCTAAAGATTTAACACAATTGCCATCAAAATACCGACACAATTCTTCACAGACCTTGAAAGAACAATAATCAACTTTATATGGAAAAAAGACCCTGAATAGCCAAAACAACCCTGTACCATAAATAAACTTCTGGAGGCAACACCAGCCCTGACTTCAAACCCTATTATAGAGCTATAGTCCTGAAAACAGCTTGGTATTGGCACAAAAATAGACAGGTAGACCAATGGAATCGAATTGAAAACCCGGGTATTAGGCAAATGGATGACACTAGAAGAAACCATCCGAAGTGAGGTAACCCATTCACAAAAAGACAAACACGGTATGTACCCACTCATATTTGGAATTCAGACATGAAACAGAGCAGTGCCATCCTACAATCTCACCGCCAGAGAGTCTGGGAAACAGGTAGGACCCTAAGAGAGATATGAGACAGGTTCTCCAGAGGGAAATGGGAGCATCGGGGGAGGTGAGAGGGATCTGGGACAGAGAGAGGGGTTGAAGAGGAGGGAAGAGGAGGACATGGGAGAGCAAGAAGGTTAAGTCGGGGGAAGAATAGAGGAGGGCAGGGTGAGAGATACCATAATAGAGGGAGCCACTATAGGTTTAAGGAGAGATTTGGCACTAGTGAGATTTCCAGAGATCTACAGGGATGACACCTACTGGCAATCTAACCAATAGTGGAGAGGCTACCTTAAATGCCCTTCCCCGATGATGTGACTGATGACTACCTTGTATGACATCCTAGAGCCTCCATCCAGTGGCTGATGTAAGCAGAGGCAGACACCCACAGCTAAACAGTGAACTGAACGCCTAGAAACCAGTTGCAGAGAGGGAGGAGTGATGAGCCAAGGGTTGGGAGCAGGCTGGTGAAACCCACAGAAACTGCTGACCTGAACAAGGGGGAGCTCATGGACCCCAGATTGACAGCTGAGAGGCCAACATGGGACTGATCCAAACCCCCTGAACATGGGTGTCACTGAGGTGCTCTTGGCATTCTTTGGGGCCTCAGGCAATAGATCAGTATTTATCCCTGGCACCCAAATGGACTTTGGGAGCCCACATAGAAGGATGCTCTCTCAGCCTGGACATATGAGAGAGGGTCTAGCTCCTGCCCGGGGATGATATGACAGACTTTGGAGATCCCCCATGAAGAGCCTCACACTCACTGGAGAGTGGAGTTGGGATTTAGTGGGGATCTGGGGGTGTTGGACAGGCAGGGTAGGAGGAGAGTGAGAGGGAGCTGGGATTGACATGTGAAGCAAGCTATTTTCTAATTTATATAAAAGCAGTTAAAAAAGAATGGATAGAGAAAATGTGGTACATTTACACAATAGAGTACTACTCAGTGGGCGAAAAAAACAATGGAATCTTGAAATTTGCAGGCAAATCCTGAGCGAGGTAACCCAGTAACTAAAAGACAAACATGGTATATACTCACTCATATATGGATTTTAGACATAGAACTAAGGATTGACAATCTGGACCACCAAAGATGCTAGGAAACAAAGAGGACCCTAAGAGAGACATGCATGGTCCCCTGGTGAAGGGAAAAGGGACAAGATCTCTTGAGTAAATTGGGAGCATGGGGGGAAGTGAGAGGGAGTTAGGAGAAAGAGAAGGGGAGAAGAAGAGGGTAGAGGAGGACATGGGAGAACAGGAAGATTAAGTCAAGGGAAGAACAGAGGAGAGCAAGAAGAGATACCATAAAGAGATATCTGGCACTAGGGAAATGTCCAGAGATCTACAAGGACGACACCAACTAACAATCCAAGTAATAGTGGAGAGGCTACTGTAAATGTCCTTCCCAGGTAGTAAGGTTGGTGACTACCTTATATACCATCCTAGAGCCTTCATCCAGTAATGATGGAAGCAGAAGCAGACACCCACAGCTAAACACGGAACTGAATGAACTCCTGGAATCCAGTTGCAGAGAGGGAAGAGTGATGGGCAAAGGGGTTAAGACCAGGTTGGAGAAACCCACAGAAACAGCTGACCTGAACAAGGGGGATCTCATGGACCTCAGACTGATAGCTGGGAAACTAACGTAAGACCAACCCACACCCCCTGATTGTGGCTGTGAATAATCAGGCTGGGCAATCTATGGGACCTCTGGCAGTGGATCAGTATTTATCCCTAGTATATGAATAGTCTTTGGGAGCTTATTCCACATAGAGGGATACTCTCCCAGCCTATATAAACGGGGGAGGACTTAAGCCCTTCACCAAATGATACGACAGACTTTTAGGATCCACCATGGAAGATGTCACCCTCCCTGGGTAGCAGACAGGGGATGGGATAGGGCTTCAGTGGGGGCAGGGGAGGAGGGGAAGATGGAAGGGAGAAGGAACTGGGATCGATATGTAAAACAAGATTGTTTCTAATTTAAATGAGAACATCTGAAAAAATATAACCTGAAGAATTAATCACTAAAATCCTATAAGAGCATAAAAAAAGGCCATTGGTAGCATGGCTTGTAGCAAAAGGATAAAATTTGATGTGTTATGAACATATCTTTTCTCATTCACTCATCATTTCTAACTCCTTAAATTTTTATAGGTAGAAGACTTTAAAGAATAGTACAATGGATGTGAAATAAGAAGAAAGAGCTGAGCCTTTAATCCCAGTAATTAGGAGGCAGATGCAAGCAGATGTCTGTGTGTTCAAGACCAGCCTGGTCTACAGAGCAAGTTCCAGGACAGCCTCCAAAGCAATACAGAAAACCCTGTCTTGAAAACACAAAAAAGGAGGAGGAGGAGGAGGAGAAAGAAAAGGGCTTGTTGATAAGAGAAAGGAAGAAGTAGGGGAAGAAAATGGTTATGGAGGGAATATGATAAAAACATATTGTATACATATTAAAATACTATTATGAAACTCAGTATTTATAATCAAGAACAAGAGAAGTTATTTAAATAGCATAATTGTGACACTAACTTCTAGACTCAATGTGTACTTATAAAATTTTGCCATCGCTAATGTGTCTATATCTACTGATGGGTATAGCTCAGTGTGAGAACATTTGCTTAGCAGGTATTAAGTCCTAAGTTTTATCCTCAGCCACCATGAGGGAATAAAAGTATCCATTTGTGGATATAGTACATCTATATGCCTACACACAGGCTTTCACGTATTTGTTTTCCTTTGTTGAGTCATTTACAAATAAAATTTAAACCACCATGACCTCAAACATAAAAACAAATCAGTAAGAATCTCCTATGATAGGGCTGGACAGATGGCTGAGCAGTTAAGAGCATATACTCTTGCAGTAAACCTGAGTTCAGTTCCCAGCACACACTTCAGGAGACTGACAAACCACTCCAGTTCCAGGGGAACTGGACACCTCTAGCCTTCAAGGGCATCTGAATTCATGTGCACATATACAAACACATATATGCATAATCAAAAATAATAAAACTGAACCTATGTACAGGGCCCAAGTAGCTACCATTGCTCTCTCTCTCTCTCTCTCTCTCTCTCACTGCCTCCCTCCATCAAGTCACCGAGGCCCAAGGCTGATTTCCAGGACTAGTTATCTCCCATCAGCCTGTAGTTTCTCTTCCTCTGGCACTCACCAGATCCCAGATCAATGCCCAGGAGAGGTCTTCCAGTTATCACACATAACCCAAAGTTCCAGGGCCCTGCCAGCTGCCTGACTAGGACCCTATAATTGTCCTTTGGGGCCTTTAAATGCAGAATCAATCTACACTGCCAAGAGAAACTTGCTCAAGACTCCTTAACCAAACCTTGCTAGAGGATATATTCCTAAATACAAGTTAAACAGATGAAATCAAGATTCCAATACTATTGTGAAATGGCCATGTCTAGAACATTGCAAAAATCTCTGCTGAAAGAAGAAAAAGTGAGTTGAACAAAAACAAAAG